TTAAGCAAGAAAAAGATGGACAAATGATAAACGACTAAAAATGCTTCAGACAGACCCTCCAAAGTAGTCCAGGCCTCAGAAAAGAGCCAATTAAGTCCTCTGTCAACAAAGAAGCTGAGACGCCTCGCAATAAAGACTGAGCTAATGAGCAGAGGGATACGTGTGTGGTGGGGGAATGTCCCCCTAGTGTCTGCAGCCCCATCCCTGACTTCTTCCTACAGCCAACCTCCTAATCAGGTCAGGTTATATAAGCCACCTGCTGGCTGATACTCCTTCCTTTTGGCTCTAAACTGGTCTCTGCTGTGGTTATTTGGTCCTCCAGCTATGTTAGAGACCCATTCTGTCAGTTGAGTCAGCTTTTCTAGAGTTCAGTCTGCTCTTTATTTGGGATTCTCTGCTGGTCTGTTTGTGGCCTTCTCCACTTGTTGAACAAAAGGTGGTGAGTAGGGTTAACATTAAAAAAGGAAATATATTGTACGTAATCTGGTGAGCCTCTTTCATTCTTCTTTTTATTTATAGGCTCATCTGATTAATGCTGTTTTGCTCAGAAGCTTAATTTGTTGTGCTTGCTCATAAGTTAAGTTTGTTTTGCTCATTTAGCCTATTGTGCTCTTTCTTACATTTAGTTTGTTTTGCTGATTTATTTTATTGACCGAGTGGGTGGTTATTTGTTTGTAATTGTTTTTGAGCACCATATTGTGGTGGGGCTAGGCACTCGTGGCATGATCCCTGCTCTTGATGCATGTGAGTAAGAGCACTGGGACACATTTGTAGACTGTGCCTGTTTGGTGTGAGGATTGCTATGTTGCACTGAACGTGAATTAGAGGTGTCACCCCTGGGCCCTTCTCAGTGTAGTCTGTCTCTCCAAATGTGTGTTCTTTTTTGGAATAACAACGTATTCTTAATCAAATAAAAAATGAAACATGTCTGTCTTGGCTCAATAATGAGCCTCTGTGCCTTCATTAATTGGCCAAATAACATTGAATTTCCTGTGGTGGAATCACCCAGGTGGCACTATTGGTCTTTTCCCCTTTCTCCCCTAACTGCCCTTGCCACACTTGTTATGTTATACCTACTTCCCACAGTCATATCCTGTACTAGTATTGCATTTATACCCATCAAGATCCATTCTTGAAATGGGGACACTGTAGGTGGCTGGAAATGTCAGTTTGGTAACAAGGCCATGTGTCCAAGCAGTTGCACCTGAAGTATCTGGCCCTACTAGGAAGAGTCCAAGGAAGGAAGCAAGAACACCTTAAAGTCCACAGAAAATGTAAATTGGTGCTATTTGCTTATTTCCTGTAAAAACAGGCAGCTAGGGGGGAGTTATCACGGTAGCCAATAGTGCTGTGTTGCCAAAGGACAAAGCGGCCATCCTTGTATGGTTGTGGCACCAACTGTCGTAAGGAAGATTTATTGTTTATTGTATTTTTTTATTTATTTATTTTTAAAATTTGAGGTAACAGTTTACCTCAAATCTTAAGTAAATTCAACAAAACTGATATCTTCGTATTGTACAGTGTTAACAAATGTAGAACAAAACAAGATTTCTATGAAAGAAACCTTTCCATGGTCGACTGCTGTGGCGAGAAAACACCTTAGCCAGTACAGCTCTCACGATGACAAACCTTTTCATTCTTGTGACATTGGCCAATATACTGACAAAATAACTGTTTTGAAGCATGAATAAATTGTTTAAGGTGAGTACTACTCACAAAAACTACTTTTTTATGCATTACTTTACATGAACTCTATTAATGTCTGCATGAAACAGTTGAAACACATTCAACACAGTTGTCAGACCTCAAGGACAAAGTTCTGCAAAGTAATCCGAGACCCAGGGTATCCTGACTTAGCCAAAAGTATGAGTCAAGCTCCAAAACACTGGATCCCACAGGCTGAGTAGTACTCCTCATGATGAATAAAGAGTTTGATGGGTAAAATAGTAACTAAACTCTTTGTAGCAATGATTACAATGGTAATCTAGTGATATTATTTACGAGCTAAGCTGTAATAGTTTCAGTCACAAACTCCCGCAATGCACTGGTCTATTATAAACACAGGTTACTCGAGGGTGCTGAATAAATCTTGTGGTTCCAGCTCACATTCTACATCTAATTCTAAGTTCTATTCACACCACCAAACTGAGACAGACCTCATCTGCAGGGAGGCAACATTTGCACCTACAAATAACTTCTCTTCATTTATGACTCTAACCAGCATGCCCGCTGATCTGGGTTGAGTTTTAAGACCCACCTGGTTCTGAATGTACGCATGAACTCTTTCAAGCATCCCCTCACAGGTGTACTCGTAGGGCAGGAATGGCTCCACCTGCAAACACAGATGTGCACGCAGATGAAGAAACAGTAGGTGGGGCAGAGAGAGAGAAAGGGTGTGTGTCCATAGAACCAAGCCATTGTAATTACAGGAACTGAGCATCTGATAGTTAATCAAAGCTGACATATTCATTAGCGTAATTGTGAACGGCTTATATCATGCCACAAGCCACACATTAAAATCAATGACCTAATACATCACAGGTGACAGCTTTGAAAATTGATTTCATTATTTTTAGTGATGACAACATCAATATGTCAAACAATGGATTAAACTGACATCGGACCACTGGTCATCCAGCACTGAGGAGGCTTCTGTTTTTGTGCATTGTGGGTCCTTTGGGTGCCGTTATCAGCATCACTGTTGAGGCCTGTCACTTATTGTCTTGACTTTTGATGGCAGGAAATTGATTTAAATTCACTGAGAAAGCACTGATCAATATCTTCATATCTGCACAGTGTTTTATGCTAACAGCCTCATAGAGAACATAGCGGTGAGAGGAAGGGACAGGTTTATATTAATAACTGTATTTTGAAACCTATTTGTGGTTTGATTGAATACATAATTATGAAATATATCAGGATAGAATACATCCTGTCAGGATTTCCAGTGAAGAATCCCCTCTGAATGTCTCCTTTGGTAGCTAAAGTGAGATCTCATTGTTTACTATCAAGCCACTAAAGCACTCAGACTTTTAAATTGATAAATGGTTTCTTTTAGTGTTGTGTTCCTTTTAGCACTCTCTTATTACTTTATTTCATCTGAGTTTAATGAAATGTATCTGGCACTTCATCAGCTATTCCACAATGCAATTTGCCTTTTGGGCATTTTTATATAATAGAATCAGAGGGAGAGGGAAAAAGAAAACCGTCATAGAAGGCGATTTGAATTCAGCAGTGGAAAACATTTTTAAAATGACTGTGCAATCTATATACCTAGACTGATTGCATTGCTCGGCCACAAAAATATGTGAGCAACATTCATCATTTCATGCTGTCATCAGTGACATAAAATTCCTGAAGTGAGTTCAACTGGGTGCAGCCATGTCCACAAAAAGGCACACAAACCTAGCTGGCGGGTGAGACGAGGCAGGTGTCACAGACGTTTTAGTGCTTCTTTATCAGCTGCCTGTTTCCTCATTTCCATCATGCACTGTTGCCATGGTGCCATTAAAATCTGAGGCAACAGTGTTTGAGATGAGCAGGCAGCTCTTGAGCTCTAACATCAACAACATGAGCCGCAGCACTATGAACAACCCTTATCCAAAAATGTGTTGAGTTAACATTATTTGCTGAGCTGTGAATATGGTACCCATACTACTGAAAATTTTCACAGCAGCCATTTTGACATGAAATAGTAGGGTAAACTACCAGTGAGCCAGCATGCACTATAGCAGCACCCTGACTAGTTGACCTGAATGGAACAAAACCGTAATTAGTATCATTGGTAACACCTGTGTTTATTTCATGTCAAAATGGCAAATTGTGCTGTGCTGAAAAGTATTTACATATGTACAATTTAATATTAGAACATTAACACTGCATTAAATATACTGAACTACTATTATCCAAATACTATATAAGTTAAAAGAACAGTTTTGGGAAATGTGTCTTATCAAAAGTTAGATGCTCAAAGCCACTTTTATGTTTGGAGGGTAAACATTAAGCTACTGCTAGCAGCCGGTTAGCTTAGCTTAGCATAAAGACTGGAAACGGAAATCCACCCACCTGCACCTCTAGAGCTTGCTAATTTACATGTTATATCTTATTTCTTTAATCAATACAAAAACCGAAGTGTGACAAATCTAAGCCGTTGCCAGGCAACCAGAAGAGACTCCATACATGAAATAGGTGGACACATAACCCCCCATCTTTTTAGTTTTTAACTATGAGCTACACTACTAAAAATTTGTCTGGGTGTGTCGATATTTTCCACAACTAATCAGGTGTGCTAGTGTCCAAACTAAGTTCAACTATTACTGCATAAGACAAATGATATGTACTGTTTTTCAACTGCGTATGAATCAAATTTACATCTAGGCCTAGGTATCAGTTCAATATATTTTCTTCATTTTAATCGTATAATTGTAAGGTGAAACTTGCCACTCAGTGAGTGAGTGAGTCAGCCTGTGTGATTACTATTCTTTTCCCCTCCCCCAGGATCCAATTTTTAAGCATTTACCAGAGTCACAACTGGTACTTCATTTTGCCTCTATCAGCAGGAAAACACAAGGTCTATTTAACACACCTGGCAGGTAGAGGCACACATGCATCTTGGCACTGCAAGAGGCTTGGCCGTGGCTCTGTGTTGTTCCGGTGACAGATTGAGCACAGCGTGATTGATTAATATGATCTGCTGCGGATAATGCTCACTGCCTGTGGGGCTGGCCTTTGGAAAGCTGCCATGTAAACCCAGGTGTGGGCACAGTTTACCTACTGAGCCGCTCAATATCTCAAGCAATTAGCAGTGCGGCGAGCAGAGAGGGAGCCAGCTAAGCATTTTGCTGTAATGTCGGGCGCTATGATTAAGAGCTCTATTAAAGGCTGAGGGCTTCAAAAGTGGGTCAAACTAGACTGTAAAGTGTGCGAGAGCAAATAATAATAATTATTGTCATTATGCAGCAGTGTAAAATGTACTGTGGTGCACTCTAATATTAGGAGACCATTATTTTGAATAAGTAGAGCTAAGTTTGGAAGACAAACACCTAAAACTTGACATACATTGATCCTCATGATCTCACGGATGGTTGCATCAAACCCTTCAGAGTTATTGAAGTCGATAGTGATGACATGCGGCCTGCCAATGTACTGCTCTGCATACGGATGCTGAGAGGACACCTGAGGGAGGAATAAATGCTCACAATCACAATAAAACAACAACTGAAGTCAAGATCTGAAAAGACAGCATTTTCTTTTTTTGTTGTGTAATGCAAATTCTAAAATGGGTCGATTGTTGTAAGTACGTTGATGTGTGTGTGTGTGTGATTATTCTGTACCAACGTTGTTAACCACCAAGTAAAACTAGTGAAAGTGCTGACAAGTGCATCTACCTTCCTGGAGGTGGGCTTCCCTCTGAAGAACTCATGGTTCAGAGAGCTGTGAGGGGGATTAAACTTGGGTTGTAGGAAGATGCAACCATTGGCTATGGCCTCCAAAGGGGCGGGACCTTCGTAGGGGAAGCCAAATCCAATGAACAGCTTGACAGGAAAATGAAAAGGAGATCATGAGTCTATACACCGAGCTGCTCATATCCAGATCAACACTTGTGCAAGACTTTATCAAAGCATTTCATTGTGATCCAGATTTTGTGTGTGCAAACATCGGAGCATTTCCTGAGCTCACGAAAGCCTCAGTAATGTTCTTCCCACCTTGGCCTTTCTGAGGAGCTGCTGCAGCTCCTGCTGAGGCAGCAGACCGTGGTTCTTGACAAAGGATGGCACCTCTGGGGGACGCTGGGTCTCATAGTACACTGTCCCATGGATCTCCATGTATCGATGCAAAATGGCCAGAAACTTTTCCTTTCCCTTTGACACACACACACAACACACACACACACACACACACACACACACACACACACACACACACACACACCACACACACACACACACACACACACAACACACAACACACACACACACACCCACACACAACACACACACACACACACACACACACACACACACACACACACACAACACACACACACAACACACACACACACACCACACAACACACCACACACACACCACACACACACACACACCACACGAGTTAAGTGCTTCAAAAGGCCCCTGTGAAGTAACAAATTTATTATTGCAAACTCTACAACAAAGGCGGGTCACCTTCATTGGCATTCATCCACCATATGCCTATTGGTTAGTTTAAGCTCCCTTTGTGTTTGGCACATCTTACCATATTTTTGTATCTAATATTTGTCTGACCTGCAGATTCTTTGTAGAGCTTTTAGTTGTCTTATTGACCAGCATGCACCATGATGATGTCTGTTTTTATGAACTGATTGTATTAGCATTCAATTATTTGTCCCATTTGACTGCACAGACAGAATATCTGAGGATGCCAGCTATTAGCTCATTCCTATTTATTTTACACATTGAGCCTTTTCCCACTATGATCAGTTAAATGAGTTGAATAGATGCATCAGTATTACGCAAGCACTCTTGAAAGGGTAGAGAAAAAAAAAGCCCAAAGGTTTTGGGGAGAGCAAGAGTATCACACCAGCGAGTATTGATTCATTGAAATGAGGAAAGCAGATCTAATGAGGTGAGTCTGTTCTTGTTAGCGTGAACATCATCACTGTGATAACTGGTAACTATCACAACCTGTGACGTTATCAAAGTCAAATGTATATCTTCTGTGCTTCCCTGTGGAGACAGTTTGCTTGAATCATTTCGCTGACGTAAAACTGAATTAGTTTATCTCAAAAATTGTTTCTGGGGGAATGTTATGAATTATTCACTAATGCTATGTCTTCAAGGCATAAATCATTTATAAATGTCATCAGAGTGTTATTCCTTATTTTTCATCTTGGGCCATTTTTATGTCTTCGAGCAACATGGAGATGAAATCCCTCTCTTTTCCTAAAAGTAATACTCCTCCAAAAATCTCTTTTGAGAATCAAACATTATTGGATTTACACAAGTTAAAATTTATTGTGACTAGAATGTCAACTTCATTCATTCATTTATTTAAATCTTGTTTAAATATAGTAAACATTGTATATGATCTTCAACTATGCTACAGAAGTCCATATTTTTAATAATAGATCTAGATGTTAGGAGATATTTTAAATATTTGAAGTCACTAAAAAGTCTCTGATATTTCTGAATATATAAGTTAGGCTATAGGTTATAGGGCTGCCACTGATGCTCTCTGCTCCGTTGCTGACTCTCAGTGAAGTTGGTTAAACCACTTTTGAACAATTTTGACAACTTCCTCTACCGCCGTCTTCTATGATTGACTCTTTGGCTGACAAAAGCCCGGCAGGAGAGACGCTCTGTGGTGCCCTGGGGTTTCATAACTGAACTATGAGCAGGACGCACACTTTTACTTTCTCTGACTGTGTAGAAATCTGATGTTTTCAAATCACTGATGACAAAGAAAGGCATTAAAACATGAGGAGTTTAGTGTGGCGCTGAACTGAAGAAAATATTCATTATACTATATTCAATAGTCAAATCTTTGGATTGAACAGCCAAATCCAGTTCGACTAATAAAATTCTTAGTCGGGTATATATAAATTCATGCTAAGAGAAGAGAGGTTGAACATAGTTTTTAATCAACAAAAAGTCAAGGAAAAGTCTTGAGTTTTAAAATGTGGAGAATGCCTGTGAAAAGCAGGTGTACTTACCTGGAGCTGTATGCATCCATCAATGATGCATCATGGGATGATGAATACAGAATAGTAAAAAAGTGAGAACAGTATGAGGAGGAGGGCAGTGAGTAGAGAGAAGCAGATGTAGAGAGAGAGAATACAACATAAAGTATTAGTCATTTTTCCTTTCATAGGACCTTTACAGACCCAAAATCTCTTAAAAACTGAGGACTGCTCACAATAAGGTGATATTCATTGTCTGGAGAGACCAACACTGCACACACTGGCTTTTACATTGCAATATTTCAGACAAACAAATGCTACATTGCAGCTCCAGTTGTTCTGAGAAACAGGAAGTGTAGGAACAAAGTTTCAGTCAGATTCAAGTAAACCAAACCTTGGGGGAGGCTGTAGCACACTTCAAAGATACAGTAAGAGTGAGAAACCCTGCCAGTAGCTTGAAGGGAAAATTTACCCTAAACAACACACTTCAGGCCAGATTCCTGGAGGAGTAACTTGTTTGCAGGAAATGGAATATCTAGTGGGTGTTTCACAGAATATGTTGTGAAGGTTTGCTTAGAAAAGTGATATTCAAAAGTTCTCCAAACTTCACATTTATCCTGATTTTATCAGATTTAGAGGATGCAAAAAACTTATTACACATGTCAACCTGCCTATGTTTCATTCATTCAGTTCTATTCCCCTAAATCAGGCTGAATTAGCTATTAGCAGTTCCTGTTTGCATGTACCCATGGATGTATATAGATCTATCACTTGATTACTACTGGACAAAACTTAAAATTGTGATGATTCTCAGGCAAGCTCTGGGATATAAGGAGCATCTTTTTTTCTATAATTGTATAAGTGTATTTATGGATTTATTCATGATGGACATCGGATTATGATATTCTGGGGAGGTGTAAGTCAAACTGAATCTAAAAACGTGTGTATCGTTTGTGTATGTTCAGATTTGACGTCAGTTATGACTCCAAGAAGTAGTATTGATTTTTGACTCAAATTTACCTCCCGCAGTATCTTTGCCTCACGTCTCTCCTTCACCTCTCCTGCCCTGGGGAGGAATGCCTTGCAGTTTGAAAACCTCTGCCCTCAATCATTGTTCTAGTGATACTTTGGCAGTGTCAAAACTGAATACAGATTTTAACAACAACCCTACACTGCCTTGTAGGGATTTATAGAATATTATAAACCATGTTTAGCTGGTACCTTTGAAACTGAATTGTTAACAATTTACATATCACATCTCTTTCTACAGTAATAATACACTCTCAGTTTCTAGTTCATTAGGTACACATAATCTACCTTTAATCATATAAATGCTGTGGACAACATTTCTAATTTTACAAACAGCTGTCAATGTAACACAATACAATATAACACCACCATTTTACAGACTTTTGTATTAGACCGACTCAGTTATAGCTAGGTGTACCTAAACATAATAATATGAACATGTAATCAATCTACTCAGAGTAAAATAATCTCCTCTCACAGATCACAAAGATGCTCCAAATATGTACTAAATTTATTGACCGTTTTTGCAGGGGTTATTGTGTGCTACTGACCTTCCACATGCTGGCTTCTTTGCCGTACACAACAGCCATATTGTTAACCTTGTTCCGTTGAATGTTCAATCTCTCCGTCTCATTCAGCTCCTCCGCCACAAAACCCATAAAAGAGTTATCAGGAGTGTGGGCTGCCAAGGACAAACAAAGCAATTGGCAATACAACGTTACAAGTCCAATTTCATGTCTCAGGAAAAATGTGATTAAACTAAAGGAGCTGCTCTGGAGATCTAGACTGCTGTGCATGTAGAGAATACAGAACAAAAGGAGCACTGTGGGATTGCGTAGAGCTGAAATTCTTCATGTTTTATGATGAATTATTTTATTAGTTTGTATGGCAGAGTGCGCTAAAAACCGATATTTTGACTGCTAACTTAAATGCACTTAAATAAACAATGTTGTGTATTTGCATTCACTTCAGCTGGTTGGTTCACTTTCATTGCACACCAACAATGAGGTTAAATGCAACAGTTTCATCTCAGGCATCTTTGCTGTAGTTTTATAGTACCTGAGAGTTTTGAATTGGAGCTTTAATGTGAAACAGTTTCCACACAAAACGGGACTATGAATAGTAGCTCACATAAAAGGAAACCTACTACAGCAGGGAGATGTAAGGCGAACGAGAAAGAAACTGTATATTTCAGGCAATTTTCAAACCTGAGATGAAAGCTGATATCTTTCACAGTGTCGGGCTTTGTGATAACAGTAAGTATTTTGGAAACAACAGGGCTGCCCATTCTCGCTGAATTAATTGGAGGCTACAGAAACAGCTGAAGTTTCTTTTTCCACCAGTTTCACCAAATGTGCTGTAAATGTCTGTGTGTGTGTGTG